CTTAGCTATGAAAACTGAACATTTTATAATTTATTAATTACAATGATTAATAATTTTCGAGATTTTAATAAATTTTGTCAAAATTCGATCTTTAAATGCTTATAAAAAAAATTGTGCCTATGTATTTTTAATATTTTTCAATTGCTATTGTAACAATATATCAGGAGCCTTCTATTAAATTTTTACATTTTTGGCCCAACAGATAAAACTTAATTGATATTTATAGAAAAAAAAACTAAAAAAATTTAAAATTGAATATGTCCGTATACAGCTCAAAAAGAGTCAAAATATTTTCAAAACTGTATGGTGTATAGGAAATGCTAATTTAAACATTCAGTGAAATTTTCATGTATCTACAGTTATTCGTTTGAATTACAACAAAACAAGGAAATCGCTACATGAGAAATCGAGTGAATATCCAATGTTGTAAAAATTTGAATTTCAAACGCTCATGAAAATTTAATTTGACTTTCTTATAGACATTTTTTTTTTTTTGATAAGGTAGATAATCTTATAAAGAATCTTGTATTACATTTTCAAATCTTAGATTTAAAAAGAAAAAATTTTTACGAATTCTTAACTCAAAATAATTTGCTAATTTTCGTGATTTTTCCATATTTTGTCAATTTTTGAACTTTAAATGCTTATAAAAAAAAATTGTGACTAAAGATTTTTAATATTTTTCATCTGTTTTTGAAACAATATACTAGGAGCCTTCTATAAAATTTACAACTTTTCACAACCAACAAATAAAATTGTATTGATATTTTTAGAAAAAAAACTAAAAAAAGATGGAAAATGAAAATGTCCCTAAACAGTTCAAAATAAATCAAAATATTTTTAAAATGTTATCGTGTATACAAAATGCAAATATAAACAACCAGTGAAAATTTCATGTATCTACGTTCATTTCTTTTAGAGTTACACCAAAAATCAAAATCGATTTTTTGGAAAACCGATTTTGCGTAAAAATTCCCGTTTTTCCTTAATTTTTATGTTGTTTTTCCCGGTGCTTATGAAAACTACTGGGAAATTTTTACTTTTGACCCCCCAAAGTACCAACTAGATTCACTTTCCTAGCAGAAAAGATACTGTTGAAGAAAATCCAAGCACTTTTACTGTCCTAAAACGTGATGACAGACACAAAAATAAAAAAAAACACACATCATTGTAAAATCAATACATTCTTTGTTTCACTCAGAATCTAAAATAGATTAACTTTTTTTAAACTGAGTTAAGTTAATATTTTTTTCTATATGAACTTTTAACTTATCGAGTTAAATTTATAATTTGCTAACTGTTAACTTTTAACTAATCGATCTTGTGTTCTCTTAACTAATATAGAAAAAAAAAAATCTTACTCCACTATTAATGATCATCGCTTATTTCTGCTCCCGAAATGCTTACACAAATTGCTATCTTGTATATTATTGACTCTTGAGAAATGTTGTCTTTAATTCGTTTTAGAGTAAATATCCCTAATTCTAGAAACTCCTTGCCATTTTAGACAATTTCCACTAATACAAATTATATTTGAAACTCCCCTGCTAACCTTTCAATGAACGCAGGTAATACTTACATATATTTGATTATGTTTAATACTGTTTGGGATATATTCATTTATCTATAACCTTAATATGCATTATATTATAATTTAGTTATTTTACTTCTTCTATTTTAAGTATTTTAAGTTTAAGAAAAAAACTTTGTTAATGTAATTTTTATACTACTGTTAACTATATTTCATATCAAAATATCATGTTATGTTTTTATAGGACCCTAGTCTGTATATATTTATAAAATAAAATAAATAAAAATGAATATTTTCAAATTCTTAAAAAAATATTGTACTTACTACATAATAGGAGTGTCCTGTGGAGATACAAACTTCTGTTTTTCAAATGGATGATTTGAACATTTTAGTAATATATATTAGTTTATCAACATTAATTAATTTATAATACTTAAGTAGAAAAAAATTATTCAAGTTTATTACTAGATCCAATATTACACGTTTTTATATTTCTTTAAAACCATTTTTAAGGATTTTTATTCTAATTTCTAAGTATATACAATTTAATAACCTGGAAACAATTATTTTGAATTAGGTACATCGACGGTTTCAAAAAATGATCCACTAAATAATTTACAATAAAAGGAGGAGTGTTCCCTTTTGAAAAAAAAAAACAGAAATTCGTATGACTCATTAAATGGTAAAAATATCTCAAGAATTTTATAATGCGGTCCTCAAGTATTTTTAAATATTCCGAAAATTATAACTTGAATGCATTTATTATTTTTAAGGAAAAATGGTGTTGCATAATATGCTTGATAAATGATCCTGTATAGTTAACTAATTATATGAATTCCTTCATCAAAGTAAATAAATTAACAATAACACTATAGTAATCTAGTTATTTTATACTCCCAGTACTCCAAGACAAATATTTCAATGCTCAATAGGTACTTCAATCAATTGATTCCGAAACATAAAATTAAATTTGCATTAATTACATTAGGAAAATAAAATCATCATAGCTCGTGTAAGTTATCGAGTTGTGTTAATAGCTTTCGGCAACATGTGCGTATACGATATCGAACTACACTGACTGTTCAAAGTATTTTGTCTTAAAATATAATCAATTTACTATATTAAATTATAATATATGAAAGATAAAAAATAATGATTTTGAATTTAATTGAATATAATACCTATACGCTTTATAATTGATATTCGAAATTCATACTAGTAAGCGTGCGTCGAACGCAGTTATCAGAAATAACTATTGTAGTCCTAAACGGATTATTCGATTATTGATCGTGTGGAAAAACAATTTTATAGATTATAACTTTATGGAAATATCATAATATAAACCGTATAATGTCTAAATCCCAACTAGATTGCCGATGGTATGTGAATAATTCAGAATTATGTGGTATAAGCGTGGCAATAATAGACCTAACCTGATTAAAATGTCAAAAACTATTTAATTTTGCGTGCATAGGCACCCTATAATACATTCTACATTTCTACCGTATTTACCTGTACTGCATATATGGTAAAATATATGTACAACAATACATGTTATTGTAATATATATATTGTACATTAAAATATATATAATATATGAAGGTACCTACGTAGGACCGTAGTCGAACGTATTGGAATCGAATTTCCAAGAATTTTCCATTAAGTCGACCCGTGCGACTTTTGTTTGAACGACCCCGTGTTTCCCTGAACAAATATCGTATGTTTCGATGTGCATATTGTGTATACCGGCAGATAAGTGTCGAATTAGAAAAATAATACGAGTTGCAATTGGAATCCTCTCCGTACGTGTTACGTGATAAAATATCGAAATGTGAAGCATAAATATTAAAATACGAGCTCGTTGTTAATAATAAATAAATAAATCATAAAACGTGCACGTCTCGGATAACAAGCTCGGCGTATTGGCAAGAATACTAAAAAAAAATAAAAAAAATATAAGAAAAAATCCGCCGAAGTTAATCACACCAAACTTTTATACGGTACTTTTTTTCCGGTACGGTTTATTTTTTATAAATGAAAAATTATTATCAGCCTTTTGCGAAAACGCTATCAAAAATAATTTATAGGTATTTACTGACATTAATGGATAAAGTAATTTAAAAGCAGCCCATCGGCGTTCGCAAATTATATGATATAACGCCTTTCATATAATACCTACGCGCTCGTATTATAATTTATAACAATAAAATCGCAATAGAAATCGTTCCGATAAAAACGACCAATGTTCATTATTGTTCTTGGTGCGAGTCGTCTATTGAACAAAAAAACTGATTTTGTGTGCGATTTCTTTATCCGTTCGCTTTTATAATCCAATGTTGTGCGTCCAAACTATCTGCACACCTTCCACACTGTCACACGACGCGTATAGGCAATGACAATGAATTGACATTTACCGTACGAGAACGAGTATGGGACGAAGAACGAAAATATTATAATATTAGTAAATTCATAAACGACATAATAATATTAGTATTGTTTTATTATGAAATTTCGTCGACGAAACTTCTGAAGGTGCAGAGGCCATACGAGTAATAATAATATTATTATTTACCTAATCCGTCTATATTGCGAATAAATTTACGAAACTCAAACGTATAAATATAGTTTCAACTTTCAACCACACGTTGCACATTATTCAAATGTGTAGGCACAATTAGGCACATTATACAAGTGTCGCATCAACTTTAAGCATTGGAATTTGCATTTCCATTAATAACACTGTTGTCTAATCCCTTTTGTTTTATAACGTTTAATTTATTTTTTTTTACTACAGCTTAAAAAATATAAACTGTTATGCCCCGGGAGGTTTAAGGTCCAATATGTGTCGCCCACAGACATATATATACCTATATAATATATTATATTAACCTAGTACACATTTCATTGTTTTGTGTCGCGTTGCGTTCATTCAAAATTATAATAATATAATCGAAACATAATTGAAAAATAATAGTGAACTATATAACAACTATACGGGTTGATATTTGTAATGGCGGTCAGTCTCATAACGTGGATTTACGTGTAAAATACGCGATACAAAGTACTTACGTTTATGATTTCATTTTGATAGGTATTCAATAGAGTATTCGTTCGTTAATTTATTTTTATAGTATCTCTACACGACTATTATTGTACTGTGCAAAATGATCAGTGTTTATTAAAATTAGAAAATATTTAAAATTGTATCTTTATTTAATAGAAAAACTTTTTATAACGCAATGCTAATATTGTAATATATTTTTTTTTTTTTTTTATTAGAAATATTTACAATATAAATTATAATATAATACAAAAAGTAAATTTCGTGAAAGTATAGTAATTCGATATAATATGAAGCTACATGATTACATAAATTATTATTAATATCCATTTTATATAACTCTACAGGGAAAATACGCAGGCATATATAATATTGATATCACCTATTATTATAATAATAATAATTAATATGTTACTCAGAATTTATGAAATTTATGATTCAAGAAATCAACAGTTCCGTCTTCAAAACCACTCGGTAAAATCTGAAATTTGGCTACCGACTTCACGGAGTCGACGAAATTCAATTGCCGTTTTCGAGCATATTAGGCCCAGACTATCTTTTTCTACCTACCACAAACGTTACGACTTCACGTACAGACGTACAGTCAGTTGGAGTAAAAACGGTGGGCGAGGTGCGAACGTTTCGATTGGTGCGTCGACGTTGCCACAATGGTATTTTAATTTTAAAACGGCGATGGATTCTGAACGGACTGCAGACCGAGAAGCTGTTCGAATTTTAATCGGTGAGACTCAACTGTGAACAAAGATAATAGGAGGTATATATTATTATCATGTCAGTGCGAAATTTTATTCAATCGAATTGGATGGCGAGTGCGACGGAAGCGCGGCAGAGGCGTCGCGTGGCGGTAATATTGAGAGTTTCCCCGCTATTATTCGTGACATGCACTATACGTGGCAAGTGGTCGTAAAGTGGAGAGAAAAACGCACAAGAAATTTGTGGAGCACTACTCCAATATTTCAATGGCTGCTGTGAAAGCTTACATTGCGAGTTGTGCAGAAAGATGTGTGGAGGAGAAATCGAGGAAAAAAATTCGCACGGCGCATGCAGGCGTCGTTGAGCGGCCATCAGTTTCAGCATCTACTTTAAATAGTTTAAATCAACGCGAGGGTAAGTGGACCTTTTCAAAGTTTACCTGACGGACATTTTAAGTTTATACTTCACTGCAGAGAACACTTGACGAAGTTTTCATTTTTCCGGCCTCTGAAGTGCGCGAGAAAACTTCGGCGAAGGAACTACCACACGCATTTTTAACGTTTGGTGTCCCCCCCCTCACGTTCTGCAGTGTGAGAACGGTCGGGAATTCACCGTAGAAATAATAACGAAACTGGCGACGTTATCGTCTGACCGGATACTAGTAAACAGTCGGCCACTTGTCGAAAAGCCAAGGGCTTGTAGAAATCAGCTAATGTACGCTGAAAGATTCATGGGTATTCGTGTAGCATGGATGCGGGACAACAACAGACTTCCGAGTGGAGCTATGGCGTGGATTTACCCATAGGCCACCAAAGCACGTGCCTAGGGCGCCATATTTTTTGGGGCGCAATTTTTTAGTTAATTTTTACTTTTTAGTTTTTCATAATTTCATAATTATACTTACCTAAATTTATATTTTATATTAATTTTTTTTTTGAATACAAGTTGCATGAAACTGGAGAAGAGCTCACATAGTCAACGTCGCAGTAACTTTTTTAATTTATAAGCTATATAATAACCTTGCCGTTTGAGTTTAATCCTGCGAGCCTGCCACCGCGGCACCGGTAGAGGTTCGAGTGTTCGACTTCGACGACACTCGACGAAGCAGTTGCCGGAGTTGCCTATGTTAATGAATGGGAGGTGGTATACGGGAGTGCAGCGTAAACACATGTAATATTGTGAATGGTGCATGAGCAAAACGCCAGCCAAGGCAGTCAAATATACTGCCTCAGGCCCCGCCGGGTACACTATCTATAGCCAGGTAGGGGACAGCTCGCACAGTGCTTAGCAAGTAAATTATTTTATATTAACTGGAATAACCCGCCTGACCTCGCACTCGGCACCGAACCAGTCTATTCTTTGAATACTGGAATTAATTCTGGAAATCAGACGTCTTGATAAAGTAATTAATAATAATAAACATTGCGACGCTGGCTCCTGCATAGTGCATTTGTGCATACTGCTCAGAAATCTGCTAATCGATTACGATTATAGAGACGAGAGTGCTCACCACTTTAATCAGTACCTACCATTTAGTTTTGTTTTATTTCATTGAACATTACCCCTCACCCCCTCCCGTTGGAGCACTCCAATATACGGGGCGCTAGTGTTGTAATGCCTAGGGGCGGAAAAATGGTAAGTCCACCCCGGATGGCCTCGCATTTGTACAACGGAAAGTTGACACCACATTTCACGAAGATACTGAGATGACACCCTATGAATCGGTCTTTGGTGAGAAAGCGCTGATGGGTTTGGAAACGACGGTGCCTGAAAAATTGTTAGATAAAATAATGACGGTAATGCAAGAGGAGAATAATAATAATATGTTGGGAATGTTTTTGGTTCCATCTTCGTCCGTTCCTGTATACAGTTCGAAAATCGGAATACTGAGAATGTGTGCAACTACTCGAAACTAAGGTTAACAGAATTTATAAAGAGTAGAAGGAATTCTAATGAGATTACACTCAGTGGCCCCGAACCCATTTTCAGGCAGTAAAAGTAGTGCATTTACTTTTAAATTTTAATGTTTATCTTATAATGTTATAAAATTTTTTTTATAAAATCGACCGAAGTATAATTTCCCCTAGGGTAACAGGCAAAAATATTAAAAATACATCGTCACAAATTACATAGCCAAAGCTTGAAAATATAATACAAGGCTCCTCATAATTGGCTGTCCTTAAAATTCAAAAATCTAATAAATTATTAATTATTATTAGGTACATGTTTTCATAGACATATATAAAGTTCAAAGATCTTTAGTTGAGGAATCAAATGTAAAATACCCCTGTAGTTGTCAGTATAATCGGAAAAAACTAAGTAAAAACAGCGAACTCACTACAGACGAGAATTATAGGTAAATATAAAAAAAAAATTACGAAATGTATCAAACTCACAAATATATATATGTATTTGTATACATTAATACAAAAACAAATAACATTTATGCTCAAGGACCTATAGGATTTTAATAGACACCTAATAATTATGCACATAAGTATAGCGATCAGCAATTGAAAGTGTATTAATATTACAATCTACTTTATATAAACATTAATCAATGTATTCAATAAGATATTTAGTTAAAATAGAAATTAGCTAATATCGATCAATAAATTTACATTACCGATAGTGAGTCGTTAGAATTTTTGAAACAATCATTTCAAACAGTTTAAAAAAATCTATGGAATAATGCGTATGCCTCCCGTATTAGAAAATCAATAATAAAAAATGACATTTTGGTATTAGGATGGCAATAAATTATATTTTATATACAATATTATGATATTATAATAAAACACAACACTTTGAGATGAATAATTTTTTAATACTGTATTTAAAACTTAAATCCTCGTATATTCTGTTAACGAATTACGGAAGTCGAGATAAATATTTATAGTGAAGTCTCGTGTCATGGTTGTCACAGTAATTACACTGCGGTGCTTAGACTCTCTCTCCCGTTTTGTATATATTCAGGTGACAGTCGACATATTATATTATTAACTCTCAATGCATATTATTATTAGAATACTTAACAATTTAAGGTGATAGTTTACGAGTTAACCACTATATTAATATGATAAATGTGCGTTTAACAAGTCATAATATTATTTAGAGAATCAAAATTCCTAAAATGAATGGTTAAAAATTAAAATATAATATGGATATAAATATATAATATAGGTATTTTTAGTTTAATAATAATTAAACCTTACCATACAAGACAAAATTCATCTAAATCATGAACATTTGCAACTTATTTTGTAAATAAACATTTTATAAAATTTAAATTAAAATAACCATTTTTGTTTCTATTTCAAAAAGCTTAAATTTAAGGTTCCTCGTATACATTTTTCTTAAAGCAGTTACAAAAAAACCAAAAATGCAAGTCACAATAATATTTTCATACGCTATAAATTAATTTTACAATAGCGTTTTGGAGTTTACTTATAATACATAGTATCTTATACAGTATCTAATTTACTTTTTCTATATAGGTAAACTCTTCCAACCATCCAAACATCAATTTGAACACTATTTATCAAGCTTTTTTTAAGCCTTTTCAAAATAAAAATTGTACAGAATTTCAATATCAGGTTTGTTAAATTAATAATTTGAATCATTCATAAATGTCCTAACATTATCAACAGCTCAACAGCAATTACATATAGAACTACGCGCAGCACAACAATCTCCTGAAAAATTTTTTAGTACGTTTCCAAAATGATCGGCCCATATGTTTGACCGCAGTGGTGGATCCAGGGGAGTGTAAAGGGGGCATTTGCCTCTCCCTCTCCCCAATCGTCGTAGTTTCCTTTTGTTTTACACTGTGTTTATCCAATTTTGTAGCAAATTTATGTACTTTTGCCCCTCCATACCACCCGCAAAATTAAGCCCTGGATCCACCACTGTTTGACCGTGTTCGTGGTTACCACCCGGTCCGTTATTGCAGCGTCTGTATCCTGCAGATCTACACAAGTGACTAAAACACAATTATTCGTACACCGAGTTCGACCAAGGTTTTTGACTCTGTTGGGACAGTCGTGGCAGACGGCGCTATTGGATTGCGGTTTCAGGGGCCATCAACATGATATTTGACATAGAAAAAATGGATTTTGGTTAGTAGACTTGTAGCGTAACATTTCGCACGACTCTTGGCCTCATCCAAATTCATGTCGTTCAATTTCAATATTATAATATATCAGTATTATATAAATAAATAAAGTGTAGCCTTTAGTATTATTAGGTTTAAATTCCACGACCGGTTTTAAAATCAAAATTCATCTTCTGTAACTACCATAATAAATTTGAGTAAATGTTTTAAAAAAAGTTATAACTTAATAATATTCTATTTTAATATATAAAATCATGATCGTGAGCCACCCTGCCACATATAAAAAAAAATAAATCTTTTCATTATTTACATTTCTATAGTTATTATATTTTATGAATACCTATATATTATAACATATTGGTTAATCGCTGCTATATTATTATTTTATATTTAAGACATTTAGGTGCAAATACTTTTCGAAAGATCATAATAATATCATAGTTATGTCCTAGAATGCACTCTAAATGGTATGCTCTAATAACATTTCCAATACACATTTCTGTGCAGTGTAGTATATTCGGTACTAGTATGAGTTTCGGTAGTGATTCTTATTAAATCTATTCAGTATTCAAAATTTACTGGTAACGAACGATTATCTTCAGTCAATTCTATAAAGACTGGAACAACGAAATTCAAACCCAAATTATTTTCATTGGCGAACGAAATTTAGTTTGAAATTTATTTAGATACCCGGGTACTGGTAGATATTTGGCTATTTTGGAAAAAAAAAGCTCCTCTTAAAAGCCTTAAACGTGGTCCACTAGTTGCTATTTAGGCATAGTTGAGCAGTTCTACACTGAGGTGAAAGTTTAAACGAGTACGTTTGAAGTGTGCAGCGCACACTTATTCGGTTATTGACGAAATCATTATCTATATTCATAATATTTACCATGTAATGCCTCTACTTACACACAACGCGATATAATTGTAT